ACACACACACACACACACCCCAACAGCACCACACCACACATCCATTGTCAAGAGGGGAACTAGGAACCATGCCCACAGCACACAGAGCCACAGACAAGCAGACTGACCCCTGTGGACCTCTTTCATGACTTGAGAGTGTTAAGATCAGAACATTCTGGAAACATAGATTATCTCCAAGGGAACAAGAATGAGATTCCATATCGAATGTAACAAGATAGCTGAAGGCACCAGGCCCCCTGTGAGTAAGGCAAGACAGTGAGACTGCAATAAATTAAATGGATTGTTTGTTTTTTTGAGACAGATGTAGTCCTGACTGTCCTGAAACTCACTCTGTAGACCAGGCTGGCCTCGAACTCAGAGATCCACCAGCCTCTGCCTCCCTAGTGCCAAGATTAAAGGTGTGTACAAACACCACTGGGTTTAAATGGATTTTTTTTTTAAATGAAGACCAGAAAAACCTATAAATGTTTTCTTTGAAAAGTCTAGCACCCTAGATATACTCCTGCCATTTACCAAGATAAAATATATAAACACGGGGCTGGAGAGGTGGCTCAGCGGTTAAGGGCACCAGCTGCTCTTTCAGAGGTCCTGAGTTCAATTCCCAGCACCCACATGGTGGCTCACAACCATCTGTAATGAGATCTGGCACCCTCTTCTGGCCTGTAGACATACATGCAGACAGAACACTGTATACATAATAAATAAACATTAATATATATATATATATATATAAACACTTAGTATCAGGGAGGTGGGGCAGGAGGATCTCTGTGAATTTGAAGCCATTGGTCTACATAGTGAGTTCCAGGACAGTTAGGGCTATTTAAAAGAAAGACCCTGTCTCAACAAAACAAATAAATAAATAAACAAAAAGCAAATTAATATCTGGGTGAGGAGGAGAATTTTTATTTTTTACTTTTTTCAGAAAATTTTAAAAACACAGATCATGGGGGTGGAATTAAGCAAACTGCATCAAGGAGGGGATTCTACTCATTTCCATTATTATGGGAATAATTACATTATGGAAAACAACATTATGGAAAACGTTCACAAGCAGACAGCAGACTGAGGAAATTCATTTTAAAAGGCTAAACACAAACGCGGCAGTGCAATTCATGGTTCTCAAAGAAAAAGATGGCAATCCCAGTGGAAAACGGCAGACAGCAGAAAGACAGTGGAGGAGAAAATCGGAAAGGCAAACACGCATGTTCACACCTGCCAATAAGTTAAAAATACCCAGGACCACCACCTCACACCTTGACAATGAGCAAAGCGCCTGGGCACTGGGAAATGCTTCCCCCTGGGCCTGCTGTGGGCTCCTGAACCCTGAGCACAGTTGGAGGTGGCACAGACCCCGCCCACCTGTGAGGGGGCGGAGCCTCCTGGGTTTCAGAGCCTCTCAAAGATCAGCCAGAATTTCACAACCCAAAAGATGAGATCCAGAGACTGCACAGTTCTGGACCAGAGCCACTAAGGAGTGGACAAGGTGACGACTCAGGTCCCCTTCATAAGTGGCTCTCTGTGACCTCCTCACTGGCCCGCTGAGTTCCGGTCATCTCCCAGCAGATCTGTTTCTCTGTGACCGCAGCCGCCCTGCTTCTGGGCCAGCTTGACGACTTTCTAGCTGGCCCGCTGAGGAGATGCCTTCTCCCAGCTGTTCAGATCCCCAGCCAGAGTTTTTACCCTTCCAACTGGGTTTCTTATAAATGGGTTTCCTCGCAGGTTCAGAAACCCCACGCTCTCATTCCCGCCCGTGCCCACTGTCCCTCCAGAGCTCAGGGTGGGTCCTTATGCACACAAACTCCAGCTGGGAGCCACTCAGAATCAGATGACATCTCAACCCAGGCTCCTCTTTCTGCTTCCTGCCTCCAGAAACCACAGTTCTCCTTCCTCTCCGGGCTGGGTCTCCCCGAGGCTTCCCGTCTTTGCGCAGTATGGACTCCTGCTGTTCAAGGGCCTGATGCTGTTAGTTTGCTGTGTGGTCCTTTGCCGACGACGCTGCCAGGTAAGTGGCCTGGCTTGGGGTGAGGGTGCTCTGTAGGATCTGGTGAGTGGTCTGGGCGAACTATATTTTCAGTTTCAAGTGAGTGTGTTTATTAAGGACACAGCAAGTCAGAGTGAAAGGATAAATACCAAGTAGTAGAGAGAGCAAACCATCGTAAAACCGGGTGCTTAAAACGTCCAGCAAAACTAAGGAAGCCCCATGGAGGCATCAGTTGGAGTTTCCGACAGAGTCCCCAGCAGAGCAGTGTCTGTAACCTCGGGTGAAGCTTCCAAAAACAAACAAATAGAAGGCAGAAACCATCAAATACGGGACTTACAACACCCCACAAAAACCAATGCGGGAAGTTGAGGCAGCCAGCTGGTTCCCAGTTGAGCTTTCTCTCCAGGGACCAGCTTCCCATGGCTTCTCAGCCCCTGCACGCTCATATCACAGGGTAAGCAATAGTAGCTTCTGGACATGTTACCTTTTGGCTGTGCCCAGGAGCATGAGGTTTTCAGTCCTGGCCTGTTTTTGCTATTCTCTTTTCCTCCTGCCACAAGAATAGGAGGGCCAGGCCACCCGTACCCAGACAAGAGGCCTTGGAGGACACTTTGAAGCAAAACTGCTTCATTCCGAATGGGGCATGATAGATACAGCCTCATGTCCAGAGGCAGCTCCTGCACACACACACACACACACACACACACACACACACAC